TTGTATACTTGTACACCCTTGTATACCCTTGTATAACTGTCCAAACCCTTGTAAACCCTTGTATACTTGTACACCCTTGTACACCCTTGTATACCTGTCCAAACCCTTGTACACCCTTGTATACCTGTCCAAACCCTTGTATACCTGTCCAAACCCCTGTACACCCTTGTATACCTGTCCAAACCCTTGTACACCCTTGTATACCTGTCCAAACCCTTGTATATCTGTCTAAACCCTTGTAAACCCTTGTATACCTGTCCAAACCCTTGTACACCCTTGTATACCTGTCCAAACCCTTGTACACCCTTGTATAACTGTCCAAACCCTTGTACACCCTTGTATATCTGTCCACACCCTTGTATACCTGTCCAAACCCTTGTACACCCTTGTCTATCTGTCTAAACCCTTGTACACCCTTGTATACCTGTCCAAACCCTTGTACACCCTTGTATACCTGTCTTGTACACCCTTGTATTGTATAACCTGTCTAAACCCTTGTACACCCTTTTCTCTATCTGTCCAAACCCTTGTAAACCCTTTTTTGTATACTGTCTGTACACCCTTTGTACACCCTTGTATACCTGTCCAAACCCTTGTACACACCCTTTTGTATACCTGTCCAAACCCTTGTATACCTGTCCAAACCCCTGTAAACCCTTTTGTATACCTGTCCAAACCCTCTTTGTACACCCTTGTATACCTGTCCAAACCCCTTGTATATCTGTAAACCCTTGTAAACCCTTTGTATACCTGTCCAAACCCTTTGTACACCCTTTGTGTACCTATCCAAACCCCTTTGTACACCCTTTGTATACCTGTCCAAACCCTTGTACACCCTTTTGTATACCTGTCCAAACCCTTTGTACACCCTTGTATACCTGTCCACACCCTTGTATACCTGTCCAAACCCTTGTACACCCTTGTCTATCTGTCTAAACCCTTTGTACACCCTTTTTGTATACCTGTCCAAACCCTTTTGTACACCCTTGTATTCTTGTACACCCTTGTATAACTGTCTAAACCCCTTTGTACACCCTTTGTATACCTGTCCAAACCATTGTACACCCTTTTGTATAACTGTCTAAACCCTTGTACACCCTTTTGTATACCTGTCCAAACCATTGTACACCCTTTGTATACCTGTCCAAACCCTTTGAACACCCTTTGTATAACTGTCTAAAACCCTTGTACACCCTTTAGTATACCTGTCCAAACCCTTGTACACCCTTGTTTTGTATACCTGTCCAAACCCTTTGTATACTTGTACACCCCTTGTATACCCTTTTGTATACCTGTCCAAACCCTTTGTAAACCCTTTTGTATACTTGTACACCCTTGTATACCCTTGTATAACTGTCCAAACCCTTTTGTAAACCCTTTTGTATACTTGTACACCCTTGTACACCCTTTTGTATACCTGTCCAAACCCCTTTGTACACCCTTTTTGTATACCTGTCCAAACCCTTGTATACCTGTCCAAACCCCTTTGTACACCCTTTGTATACCTGTCCAAACCCTTGTACACCCTTTGTATACCTGTCCAACCTCTTTGTATACCTGTCCAAACCCTTTGTAAACCCTTTTTGTATACTTGTAACCCTTTGTAAACCCTTTTTGTACCCTTGTCCAAACCCTTTTGTACACCCTCTTGTATACCTATCCAAACCTCTTTGTACACCTTTGTATACCTGTCCAAACCCTTGTACACCCTTGTATACCTGTCCAAACCCTTGTATACCTGTCCAAACCCCCTGTACACCCTTGTATACCTGTCCAAACCCTCTTTGTACACCCTTTTGTATACCTGTCCAAACCCTCTTGTACACCCTTTGTATATCTGTCTAAAACCCTTGTAAACCTCTTTGTATACCTGTCCAAACCCTTGTACACCCTTTTGTGTACTCTATCCAAACCCTTGTACACCCTTTGTATATACCTGTCCAAACCCCTTGTACACCCTTTTGTATACCTGTCCAAACCCTTGTACACCCTTGTATATTCTGTCCACACCCTTGTATACCTGTCCAAACCCTTTGTACACCCTTTGTCTATCTGTCTAAAACCCTTGTACACCCTTTGTATACCTGTCCAAACCCTTTGTACACCCTTTTTGTATTCTTGTACACCCTCTTTGTATAACTGTTCTAAACCCCTTTGTACACCCTTGTATACCTGTCCAAACCATTGTACACCCTTGTATAACTGTCTAAACCCTTGTACACCTCTTTTGTATACCTGTCCAAACCATTGTACACCCTTGTATATACCTGTCCAAACCCTTGTACACCCTTTTGTATAACTGTCTAAACTCCTTTGTACACCCTTGCATACCTGTCCAAACTCTTGTACACCCTTTGTATACCTGTCCAAACCCTTTGTATACACCCCTTGTATACTTGTATACCTGTCCAAACCCTGTATACCCTTGTATACCTGTCCAAACCCTTGTATACCTGTCCAAACCCTCCCTTTGTATACTTGTACAAACCTTACTTGTATACCTTTTTGTATAACTGTCCAAACCCTTTGTAAACCCTTGTAAACCCTTGTATACTTGTACACCCTTGTACACCCTTGTATACCTGTCCAAACCCTTTGTACACCCTTATACCTGTCCAAACCCTTGTATACCCTGTATACCAAAACCCTTGTACACCCTTGTATACCTGTCCAAACCCTTGTACACCCTTGTATAACTGTCTAAACCTCCTGTACACCCTTTGTATACCTGTCCAAACCCTTGTACACCCTTTGTATACCTGTCCAAACCCTTTGTATACTTGTACACCCTTTGTATACCCCTTTTGTATACCTGTCCCAAACCCTTGTAAACCCTTGTATACTTGTACACCCTCTTGTATACCCTTTTTTGTATAACTGTCCAAACCTCTTGTAAACCCTTTTTGTATACTTGTACACCCTTTTGTACACCCTCTTTGTGTATACCTGTCCAAACCCTTGTACACCCTTTTTTGTATACCTGTCCAAACCCTTGTATACCTGTCCAAACCCCTGTACACCCTTGTATACCTGTCCAAACCCTTGTACACCCTTGTATACCTGTCCAAACCCTTGTATATCTGTCTAAACCCTTGTAAACCCTTTTTGTATACCTGTCCAAACCTCTTGTACACCCTTTGTGTACCTATCCAAACCCTCTTGTACACCCTTTTGTATACCTGTCCAAACCCCTTGTACACCCTCTTGTATAACTGTCCAAACCCTTGTACACCTTTTTGTATACCTGTCCAAACCCTTGTACACCCTTTTTGTATACCTGTCCAAACCCTTTGTACACCCTTTGTCTATCTGTCTAAACCCTTGTACACCCTTGTATACCTGTCCAAACCCTTGTACACCCTTGTATTCTTGTACACCCTTGTATAACTGTCTAAACCCTTGTACACCCTTTGTATACCTGTCCAAACCATTGTACACCCTTTTTGTATAACTGTCTAAACCCTTTGTACACCCTTTTGTATACCTGTCCAAACCATTGTACACCCTTGTATACCTGTCCAAACCCTTTGTATACCCTCTTTGTATAACTGTCCAAACCCCTTGTACACCCTTTGTATACCTGTCCAAACCCTTGTACACCCTTTTGTATTCTTGTACACCCTTGTATAACTGTCTAAAACCCTTGTACACCCTTTTTGTATACCTGTCCAAACCATTGTACACCCTTTTGTATAACTGTCTAAACCTCTTGTACACCCTTTTGTATACCTGTCCAAACCATTGTACACCCTTGTATACCTGTCCAAACCCTTGTACACCCTTTGTATAACTGTCTAAACCCCTTGTACACCCTTGTATACCTGTCCAAACCCTTGTACACCCTTGTATACCTGTCCAAACCCTTTGTAAACCCTTGTATACTTGTACACCTCTTGTATACCCTTTTTGTATAACTGTCCAAACCCCTTTGTAAACCCTTGTATACTTGTACACCCTTGTACACCCTTGTATACCTGTCCAAACCCTTTGTACACCCTTGTATACCTGTCCAAACCCTTGTATACCTGTCCAAACCCCTGTACACCCTTGTATACCTGTCCAAACCCTTGTACACCCTTGTATACCTGTCCAAACCCCTTGTATATCTGTCTAAACCCTTTGTAAACCCTTTATGTATACCTGTCCAAACCCTTGTACACCCTTGTGTACCTATCCAAACCCTTGTACACCCTTGTATACCTGTCCAAACCCTTGTACACCCTTGTATAACTGTCCAAACCCTTGTACACCCTTGTATACCTGTCCAAACCCTTGTACACCCTTGTATACTTGCAAACCCTTGTATACCTGTCCAAATCCTTGTACACCCTTGTATACCTGTCCAAACCCTTGTACACCCTTGTATAACTATCCAAACCCTTGTACACCCTTGTATACCTGTCCAAACCCTTGTACACCCTTGTATACCTGTCCAAACCCTTGTATACCTGTCCAAACCCTTGTACACCCTTGTATACCTGTCCAAACCCTTGTACACCCTTGTATAACTGTCTAAACCCTTGTACACCTTTGCATAACTGTCTAAACCCTTGTACACCCTTGTATACCTGTCTAAACCCTTGTACACCCTTGTATACCTGTTTAAATCCTTGTGTATCTGTATAAACCCATGTATACCTGTTTAAACCCATGTATAACTGTCTAAACCATTGTATACTTGTCTAAACCCGTGTATACCTGTATAAACCCTTGTATAACTGTCTAAACCTTTGTATAACTGTCTAAACCCTTGTATAACTGTCCAAACCCTTGTATACCTGTCCAAACCCTTGTATAACTGTCGAATGTTGTATAATCTTGTATACCTGTCAAAACCATGTCAAACATTCAGGACAGCACATCTGGCATTGTGTATCTGTGCTGTAGAAGATGATATTGTCCAACATTTAGGACAACACTTCCAGCAGAGTGCTGTTGTGCTGTAGAAGATTCGCTTGTCACATGTTTAAGACAGCACTTTTCATGTATTTCTGTTGCAGTGTGTGGACAGTGCTACGACCACCCGCTACACATCACCATCAGACAGACCACAAGCATCTCACTCCCCACCCACGCAGGACACTATGGCAGGTACGTCAACACGGTGGGGTCACGCTTCTGTCTTCACCAGCTGCAGTTGTCTCCCTTGTACAGACATCAATGTGTTTGACATATGTCTATGGAGATCCCATCTGTAGGAGTAAGTGTTGATGTTGGAGGGACCTACGATGTAGATGTAAGTGTTGACGTTGGAGTGACCTACGATGTTGGTGTAAGTGTTGATGTTTGAGTGACCTACGATGAAGGTGTAAGTGTTAATGTTGGAGTGACCTACAATGTAGGAGTAAGTGTTGATGTTGGAGTAATCTACGATGAAGGTGTAAGTGTTGATGTTGGAGTGACCTACAATGTAGGTGTAAGTGTTGATGTTGGAGTGATCTACAATGTAGGTGTAAGTGTTGATGTTGGAGTGACCTACGATGTAGGTGTAAGTGTTGATGTTGGAGTGACCTACGATGTAGGTGTAAGTGTTGATGTTGGAGTGATCTACGATGAAGGTGTAAGTGTTGATGTTGGAGTGACCTACGATGTAGGTGTAAGTGTTGATGTTGGAGTGACCTACAATGTAGGTGTAAGTGTTGATGTTGGAGTGACCTACGATGAAGGTGTAAGTGTTAATGTTGGAGTGACCTACAATGTAGGAGTAAGTGTTGATGTTGGAGTGATCTACGATGTAGGTGTAAGTGTTGATGTTGGAGTGATCTACGATGTAGGTGTAAGTGTTGATGTTGGAGTGATCTACGATGAAGGTGTAAGTGTTGATGTTGGAGTGACCTAACATGTAGGAGTAAGTGTTGATGTTGGAGTGATCTACGATGTAGGTGTAAGTGTTGATGTTGCAGGGACTTACGCTGTCTGTGGAACCTGACTTCAGGAAGTGGTGATCCTCTGCAACTGGAGTTCGAGACCTTCTCTCTGCAGGACTCCCCTGACTGCATCAACGACTACCTCGAGATCTACTCCAGCAGCGGGGACCTCGTGGACCGCTGGTGTGGTGATCTCTACCCAGAGTACATTGTCATTACCAGTGGGAGCATCATCTTCCACAGCGACGACAGGGTTGGCGAAAGAGGATTCGTCATCAACGTCAAGTATACGTGTATGTCACAGTGTCATCACATCCATCACAACCAAACATCACATCATCACAACAACACATCACATCCATCACATCCACACATCACATCATCACAACAACACATCACATCCATCCCAACCAAACATCACATCCATCCCAACCAAACATCACATCATCACAACCACACATCACATCCATCCCAACCAAACATCACATCATCACAACCACACATCACATCCATCACATCACATCATCACATCCACACATCACATCATCACAACCACACATCACATCATCACAACCACACATCACATCACCACAACCAAACATCACATCCATCCCAACCAAACATCACATCATCACAACCACACATCACAACCAAACATCACATCATCACATCCACACATCACATCTCACAACCACACATCACATCATCACAACCACACATCACATCACCACAACCAAACATCACATCCATCCCAACCAAACATCACATCCATTACATCACATCATCACATCATCACAACCACACATCACATCATCACAACCACACATCACATCATCACAACCACATCACATCACATCATCACAACCACACATCACATCATCACAACCACATATCACATCATCACAACCAAACATCACATCATCACAACCACACATCACATCCACACATCACATCATCACAACCAAACATCACATCATCACAACCACACATCACATCGATCACAACCAAACATCACATCATCATAACCACACATCACAACCAAACATCACATCATCACATCCACACATCACATCATCACAACCACACATCACATCATCACAACCACACATCACATCACCACAACCAAACATCACATCCATCCCAACCAAACATCACATCCATCACATCACATCATCACATCATCACAACCACACATCACATCATCACAACCACACATCACATCATCACAACCACACATCACATCATCACAACCACACATCACATCATCACAACCACACATCACATCCATCCATCACATCATCACAACCAAACATCACATCATCACAACCACACATCACATCCATCACAACCAAACATCACATCATCACAACCACACATCACAACCAAACATCACATCATCACAACCAAACATCACATCATCACAACCACACATCACATCATCACAACAACACATCACCAACCACACATCACACCATCACAACCACACATCACACATCATCACAACCACACATCACATCATCACAACCAAACATCACATCATCACAAATCCAAACATCACATCATCACAACCAAACATCACATCATCACAAACCACATCACAAATCCATCACAACCGCACATCACATCATCACAACCACACATCACATCATCACAACCGCACATCACATCCATCACAACAAAACATCACATCATCACAACCACACATCACATCCATCACATCCATCCATCACAACCACACATCACAACCACACATCACATCATCACAAACAAACATCACATCCATCCCAACCAAACATCACATCATCACAACCAAACATCACATCCATCACAACCACACATCACATCCATCACAACTAAACACAACCACATCACATCACATCATCACAAATCCAAACATCACATCCATCCCATCACAAAACATCCAAACATCACATCCATCACAACCAAACATCACATCATCACAACCAAACATCACATCATCCCAACCATCACATACATCATCATCACACATCCAAACATCACATCCATCCTAACCAAACATCACATCATCACAACCAAACATCACATCATCACAAATCCAAACATCACATCATCACAAAATCAAACATCACATCCATCAAACATAATCCAAACATCACATCACAAATCCAAACATCACATCATCACAAATCCAAACATCACATCATCACAACTAAATATCACATCATCACAAATCCAAATATCACATCCATCACAACTAAACATCACATCCATCCAAACATCAATCCCAAACATCACATCATCACAACCACACATCACATCTATCCCAACCAAATATCACATCATCAAAATACAAACATCATCAAGTAAATCCAAATATCATATCCATCCTAACCAAATATCACATCATCACAAATTAACACATCACATCCATCACAAATTCAAATATCATATCATCTACAAATCCAAATATCATATCTATCCCAAATCTAAATATCACATCATCCTAAATTCAAACATCATATCATCACAACCACACATCACATCATCACAAATTCAAATATCACATCCATCACAACTTCAAATATCACATCATCACAAATTCAAATATCATATCATCACATCCACAATCATATCTATCCTAAATCCAAATATCATATCATTCCATCCTAAACCAAATATCATATCTATCATCAATCAAATATCCATATATCATATCTATCCTAAATTCAAATATCACATCATCACAAATTCATACATATATCATATCATTATCCACTAATCCAAATATCATATCATCAAAATCAAAATATCATATCATCATAACCAAATTCATACATCATATCTATCCTAAATCCAAATATCATATCTATCCTAAATCTAAACATCACATCATCAAATCCAAAATCTAAATATCACATATCATCAAAACTAAATATCATATCATCACAACCAAATATCACATCTATCACAAATCTCAAATATCATATCTATCCTAAATTAAACATCATATCATCACAAATCCAAACATCATATCCATCACAAATCCAAATATCATATCATCCTAACCAAATAATCATATCATATCATTACATATCATATCCATCCTATCAAATCCAAATATCACATCCATCACAAAATCCAATATCATATCATTATCATAAATCATCATATCAAATCCAAACAAATCACATCCATCCTATCATAAAAACATATCATATATCATCACAACCAAATATCACATCATCACAAATCCAAACATCACATATCAATCAAATTCACACATCACATCATCCATCAAATTCAAATATCATATCCATCCATAAATCCAAATATCACATCATCATCATAAATCCAAACATCACATCATCCTAAATCCAAAATATCATATCATCACAAACATTATCACATCTATCATCATCACAAACATCACATCATCACAACCAAATATCACATCCATCACAAATTCAAACATCATATCCATCCCAAATCCAAATATCACATCATCACAAATCCAAACATCACATCCATCCTCAACCAAAATATCACATCATCATCACAACCACACATATCATATCATCCTAAATCCAAATATCACATCCATCCTAAATCCAAATATCATATTATCAAAATCCATACATCACATCCATCACAAATATCATATCAACCAAACATCACATCATCACAAATCACACATCACATCCATCCTAACCAAATATCACATCATCCTAAATCCAAACATCACATCATCACAAATCCATACATCACATCCATCCCAAAACCAAATATCACATCATCACAACCAAACATCACATCATCACAAATCCAAACATCACATCATCAAACCAAAATATCACTATCTATCACATCATCATATCCATCCATCATATCATCACAAACATCACATCACATCCTAAATCCAAACATCACATCATCACAAATCCATACACATCATATCCATCCCAACCAAACATCACATCATCACAACCACAATATCACATCCATCAAATCAAACATCACATCATCAAATCCAAACATCACATCATCACAACCACAACATCACATCACATCATCAAATCCATCAAACATCACATCAATCATCCCAACCAAACATCACATCATCACAACCAAACATCACATCATCACAACCACACATCACATCATCCCAAACAAACATCACATCATCACAACCAAACATCACATCCATCCCAACCAAACATCACATCATCACAACCAAACATCACATCATCACAACCAAACATCACATCATCACAACCACATCACATCCATCCCAACCAAACATCACATCATCACAACCAAACATCACATCATCACAAACCCACACATCACATCCATCCCAACCAAACATCACATCATCACAACCACAACACATCACATCATCACAACATCATCATCAAAACCAAACATCACATCATCACAAATCCAACATCACATCATCACAACCATCACATCACATCACATCCACAACCAAATATCATCATCCAAATCCAAACATCATCATCATAAACCAAACATCACATCCATCCCAAATCCATCCATCACATCATCATCATCACAACCAAACATCACATCCATCCCAACCAAACATCACATCATCACAACCAAACATCACATCATCACAACCAAACATCACATCATCACAACCAAACATCACATCCATCCCAACCAAACATCACATCCATCACAACCAAACATCACATCCATCACAACCAAACATCACATCATCACAACCAAACATCACATCCATCATCAAATCAAACATCACATCATCACAGCAACACATCACATCCATCACATCCACATCATCACAACCAAACATCACATCATCACAACCAAACATCACATCCATCACAACCACACATCACATCCATCCCAACCAAACATCACATCATCACAACCAAACATCACATCCATCCCAACCAAACATCACATCATCACAACCAAACATCACATCCATCCCAACCAAACATCACATCATCACAACCAAACATCACATCATCACAACCACAACCAAACATCACATCCATCACAACCACACATCACATCCATCAAATCCAAACATCACATCCATCCATCATAAATCCAAACATCACATCCATCACAAACCACACATCACATCCATCACAACCAAACATCACATCATCACAACACATCACATCCACAACCACATCACATCATCACAACCAAACATCACATCCATCCCAACCAAACATCACATCATCACAACCACACATCACATCCATCCCAACCAAACATCACATCATCCCAACCAAACATCACATATCATCACAACCAAACATCACATCATCCCAACCAAACATCACATCATCACAACCAAACATCACATCCATCCCAACCAAACATCACATCATCCCAACCAAACATCACATCCATCACAACCAAACATCACATCATCACAACCAAACATCACATCCATCCCAACCATCACATCATCACAACCAAACATCACATCATCCATCATCAACCAAACATCACATCATCACAACCAAACATCACATCATCCCAACCAAACATCATCACATCCATCACATCATCCATCAAATCCAAACATCACATCATCACAACCAAACATCACATCATCACAACCAAACATCACATCCATCATCACAACCAAACATCATCATCCAATCCATCCAAACATCACATCATCACAACCAAACATCACAAACAATCAAACATCATCATCACAAACATCACACATCACATCCATCATTCATCCACAACATCACATCCATCACAAATCCACACATCACATCCATCACAACCACATCATCACAACCACGCATCACATCCATCACATCATCAACAACACATCACATCCATCACATCCACACATCACATCCATCACAACCACACATCACATCATCACAACCACACATCACAACCACGCATCACATCCATCACAACAACACATCACATCCATCACATCCACACATCACATCCATCACAACCACACATCACATCCATCACATCCACACATCATATCCATCACAACCACACATCACATCCATCCATCACAACCATCACATCCATCAATCCATCATCACATCCATCACAACAACACATCACATCCATCACATCCATCATCACAACATCACACATCCATCACAACCACACATCACATCATCACAACCACACATCACAACCACGCATCACATCCATCACATCCATCACAACAACACATCACATCCATCACATCCATCACAACCACACATCACATCACAGGTTAGAGATCAAGTCTAGATATAGCACTATAATGCTAACTCTGATGTACCAGGAGTAATTCCACCCTCCATGTATCTGATTCTGATTATTGTTGGAAAGAAGCGAGGAAACCGTTTTCTGTACAACAATTGATGATTACTTGGTAGGAAAGAGTGAAGATTTTAAAGTGTGACAGTCAGATACAGGATTATGTTAGAGATGTAGTTGAGGCAGTATTCTCAGAAATATTACACTGCTGACTATGGTTTGATCTTTCTAAATGTATAAACGTGTATATGCATCAAAGTACCATGGGTAATCTTTTCAGTTGCCACCTCCTTCCAAAATGTCCAGTTCCCAGTCAGGGCAACCTCCAAACCCCAACTGTTCTATGTTCCATTCTATGGAGAAAGCCATCAGTGAGTATTGTTTCAAATTTCCAAGTTAAGAAGCAAAATGCAGAAATTGTTACATACAGACATAAACTATATACAGACGAACTTTTATGAACAAACAACTTCTTTCTTCGGATGATGTGACATTTCGATACAGATTCTTGTATCGTTGTCAAGCAAGTATGTTGCTACAAGAATCTGTATCGAAACGTCGCATCTACCAAATAAACAAGTTGTTGATCCATAAAGTTTGTCTGTATATTACTCTCCAACTTGTAAACAATGCCACTCAAAGAAGTTAAACTTGAACTAATTGAAACTAACTGATGACGTCATCTGGACACTATCCTCCTCTGAAAAACCCTGAAACATCTTGAATATAGTGCAGAGAACAACCAGGCACCTCCACTAACAGTACTGGTTGTCTGATGGTTGTGGGAGGTTTGTTGTGGATTCTGTTGGGAGGTGTTTGATGGTTGTGGGAGGTATGTTGTGGATTCTGTTGGGAGCTGTTTGATGGTTGTGGGAGGTATGTTGTGGATTCTGTTGGGAGTTGTTTGGTGGTTGTGGGAGGTATGTTGTGGATTCTGTTGGGAGTTGTCTGGTGGTTGTGGGAGGTGTGTTGTGGATTCTGTTGGGAGCTGTCTGGTGGTTGTGGGAGGTTTGTTGTGGATTCTGTTGGGAGCTGTCTGGTGGTTGTGGGAGGTTTGTTGTGGATTCTGTTGGGAGCTGTCTGGTGGTTGTGGGAGGTGTGTTGTGGATTCTGTTGGGAGCTGTCTGATGGTTGTGGGAGGTGTGTTGTGGATTCTGTTGGGAGCTGTCTGGTGGTTGTGGGAGGTTTGTTGTGGATTCTGTTGGGAGTTGTCTGGTGGTTGTGGGAGGTATGTTGTGGATTCTGTTGGGAGTTGTCTGGTGGTGTGTGGGAGGTGTGTTGTGGATTCTGCTGGGAGTTGTCTGGTGGTTGTGGGAGGTGTGTTGTGGATTCTGCTGGGAGTTGTCTGGGGTTGTGGGAGGTGTGTTGTGGATTCTGGAGGAGCTGTCTTGGCTGTGGGAGGTGTGCTGTGGATTGTTGGGAGTTGTCTGATGGTTGTGGGAGGTTTGTTTTGGATTCTGTTGGGAGCTGTCTGATGGTTGTGGGAGGTATGTTGTGGATTCTGTTGGGAGTTGTTTAATGGTTGTGGGAGGTTTGTTTTGGATTCTGTTGGGTGCTGTCCGGTGGTTGTGGGAGGTATGTTGTGGATTCTGTTGGGAGCTGTCCGGTGGTTGTGGGAGGTATGTTGTGGATTCTGTTGGGAGTTGTTTAATGGTTGTGGGAGGTTTGTTGTGGATTCTGTTGGGAGCTGTCTGGTGGTTGTGGGAGGTATGTTGTGGATTCTGTTGGGAGCTGTCCGGTGGTTGTGGGAGGTTTGTTGTGGATTCTGTTGGGAGTGTCTGGTGGTTGTGGGAGGTTTGTTGTGGATTCTGTTGGGAGTTGTCTGATGGTTGTAGGAGGCGTGTTGTGGATTCTGTTGGGAGTGTCCGGTGGTTGTGGGAGGTTTGTTGTGGATTCTGTTGGGAGTTGTCTGATGGTTGTGGGAGGTTTGTTTTGGATTCTGTTGGGAGTTGTTTGGTGGTTATCAGTCGCTAGGTTTTACTGGTGTTACTTGTTTGTGTTACAGAAAACAGCTGAGATTTTCCTGGAAGGTGACAAGAACTGAAGCGACTCAGCTCACACAGGTTCATTTCCAGGCCTTCTGTGATTACGCCCACACAGTTCACATCACAGAGGGTGAGGCACCGCATCAGTAATTGTCCTAACTTGTCTGTCCCCACTGGCTGCTTAGCCATTACTTCTCTCTCCCTCTTTCTTTCATAGAGAAATTAGCATCTATAAGTATGAACCATTCATGTGTGTTCTCTCTCAACAGCGAACCAGACATCTAATCTTCTGTTCCACCAGTGTGCCTATCCTTCCCATCAGGCCATAGTGAGTGCCACGCCCCAGCTCACAATATCTGTCAAGATGCCCTCACATGGGACCAAGCAACGCTTCCGTTTGTCTATCTCAGCTGTTTCCAACTGTGAGTATTGTGGAGTTTCTAAAGACTAAAGAATTTCTATAACTGAAAACACTGGGTCACCTTGACCTCTGTCTCTGTAACTGGCGATACTGGGTCACCTTGAACCCTTTCTCTGTAACTGACAATACTGGGTCACCTTGAACCCTTTCTCTGTAACTGACAATACTGTGTCACCTTGAACCCTTTCTCTGTAACTGACAGTTCTGGGTCACCTTGACCTCTGTTTCTGTAACTGACAATACTGGGTCACCTTCACCCCTCACTTGCAAAACTGTACTCTGACAATGCTGTCCACAACATTACAGATACATCCGAGTGTGATGGAAGTGAAGTAGTTCATCAGGTGTCTGTGACCAAGAATCCACAGTACATCATTGTTCCATGGTCTGTTCACGGCCTGATGTTGACGTAAGTACCAGAACATCATTGTTCCATGGTCTGTTCATGGCCTCATCCTGCTGTAAGTACCAGTACATCATTGTTCCATGGTCTGTTCATGGCCTTATCCTGCTGTAAGTACCAGTACATCATTGTTCCATGGTCTGTTCATGGCCTCATCCTGCAGTACGTACCAGTACATCATTGTTCCATGGTCTGTTCATGGCCTCATCCTGCAGTAAGTACCAGTACATCATTGTTCCATGGTCTGTTCATGGCCTCATCCTGCTGTAATTTCCAGTACATCATTGTTCCATGGTCTGTTCATGGCCTCATCCTGCAGTAAGTACCAGTGCATCATTGTTCTTTGGTCTGTTCATGGCCTCATCCTGCAGTAAGTACCAGTGCATCATTGTTCCATGATCTGTTCATGGCCTCATCCTGCTGTAAGTACCAGTACATCATTGTTCCATGGTCTGTTCATGGCCTTATTCTGTTGTAAGTACCAGTACATCATTGTTCCATGGTCTGTTCATGGTCTCATCCTGCTGTAAGTAACAGTACATCATTGTTCCATGGTCTGTTCATGGCCTCATCCTGCTGTAAGTACCAGTACATCATTGTTCCATGGTCTGTTCATGGCCTCATCCTGCTGTAAGTTCCAGTACATCATTGTTCTATGGTCTGTTCATGGCCTCATCCTGCAGTAAGTACCAGTACATCATTGTTCCATGGTCTGTTCACGGCCTGATGTTGACGTAAGTACCAGAACATCATTGTTCTATGGTCTGTTCATGGCCTCATCCTGCAGTACGTACCAGTACATCATTGTTCCATGGTCTGTTCATGGCCTCATCCTGCAGTAAGTACCAGTACATCATTGTTCCATGGTCTGTTCAAAAAAACGGCCTGATGTTGACGTAAGTACCAGAACATCATATTTTTCCTTATCCTGACTCATGCTCTTTTGCTTGTCTTCTTCTTCTTGCGAACATAGTGGAACACTTGTATCTCCCTAATTGAAGTTCCCTTCAATGTAAAATCACTAATTAGTACACCACGAGTTACCTCCCTTCCACAAGCGCGGGAACGAGGGCGCCACCTCTACCCATGTGCCTCACTCTCTCCTTCTTCGCCCAGTGAGCTGGACGTGAGAGCGCCTGTGTCTCCCGACACACTTTTGCGTTTGAGACGCGCAGCAGATAGGTCGCGTATGCAGAGTCTAGCCGTGACTGATACACCTGAACCCCTCGCCAGTCTACTGCTGTTGGTCGACCCCCCTCCCGTCTGGTGTTCCGCTAGAGTGGTGGAGAGGCGTGGGACGTAGTCCGCCGCCTCCAAGAAGCGTCCTGCTTCCCCAGACATCCCATGGTCGCAGCCGAAGACTAGAGGGTTTCTACTGCATCTCAATGCGACCTCTGAGGGGAAATCAACGAAGTCTACTTGAACTTTCTCAGCCAAGATTGTTCCCGTCGCAGATTTGGGCCTGTATGATGATCAGCCGATCATCATACCTGATGTACATCAAAAGAATGACCGATGTCGACAACAGGGATGTCAGCGCAGATCAACATGCAGCCTGATGTACCAACGCTGATATTCTATGATCTTCCTGAGGGTCCCGTCGCTACCAACACTCAACGCAGACTTCGCACCCCCAGGGCAGCGTCGACCTCTGAGGGGAAATCAACGAAGTCTACTAGGACTTTCTCAACCGAGATTGTTCCAGCCGCTGAACTGGGCCTCTACGATGATCAGCCGATCATCATCCCCGACGTACGCCACAAGAAGCGACCGGAGACAGCTACAGTGACATCAGCAGAGATCGCCATGCAGCCTGAGGTCTCTACACTGACGTCAGACGACTTCCCTGAGGGCCCCGCCGCTAACATCGCAGAGAGGGCACCGACTAATTCGTCGCAGACCATCCCAGATGAACTGTTGCGGCAAATCATGATCATGATGGAGGGCCACTACAAACTGGAGAAGCAGCCAACCCAAGGCCTGAGCCTTCGCGAAGGTTCCAACGCAGACGTCACCCCAGAGGCACCCCCATCAGCGTAGCAGCCACGACGAAGCCACCTTCGCGAAGGAAGTCGCAGACCACCTCGACGAAGGACCCAGATGTACAGCCTTCGCGAAGGCCTTCACGAAGGCGGGATAGATCATCACCTTCCTCGGCTTCATCCTTAGATGCGGACTCAGACCATCAGACCTCACGGAAGCCTTCGCGAAGGTCAAATCGCCGTTCCCCAGGACCGGACGCAGAGGAAGCTTCGCGAAGGCCTTCACGAAGGCCTTCGCGAAGGACACCTGACTACACAAGAGCTTCGCGAAGCTATCAACATTCTCCTCACAGGTCTCCGAGAAGGTCAACCCATAGACGCAGATCACCAACACGATCTCCGCGCCGTTCACCGCGCCGATCTCCTCGTACATCACCACGTCGATCGTCTCACAGGTCACCACACAAGTCTGCACACAAGTCTACAGTCAGGTCTCCCCGAGCGTCACCCGACATAGAGATAGAAATACACAGTCCACCATCAGAAGAGCATCAACCTCTCATCAGCGATGCTGGGATAGAAAATGATGGAGGCATCATTTTCTCAGACGCTGAGATACGATATTGGATGGTAAACAACCTAGATCTCTCTTCACCTTCCAAGAGTGGCAACTCGGCGCAGACATACCTGATAAAGGAAGACGAGGCAGACGCCATCACCTTACCTCCGATCGACTCGATTGCTGCGGTGCCACAGTATGTGGACACAGCCTACCATAAAGCCATAACAGTTCAAACGCCAGAGGCGTATGTTCTTGGCCTTAATAGATCTAGAACGATCAATGAGATTCTTATCACCAGATTTCGTGACACGACTTCTGAAGATGATAGGATGATCTACTCGGCTCTACTTATGCAGAACCAGCAAGAACCACACCCTGTATGAAGCTAACGCTCATATATTGATCGGATTCTAGACACTTCGCTAAGGAAGTCCCAGGCCACCTCCGCGAAGGAGCTAGAGCCTCACCAGTTACAAGGGACGTCACGGAGGAGTAGCGCTTCACCGACCCCACATATTGCTGAGTGCGCGCGTAAAACAAAACACTCACTCACTCACTCCTGTTGAACACAGAGGTCGGATTCGCGAAGCAAGCTCATATATTATATATATACTGATCGGGGCTCTGACTCGATACCTTCGCGAAAGGTCGCTAAGGCTAAGGCTAAGTGGCTCCAAGTCTACCTCACACAGAAAATCTAGAATGGATACTTCGAGAGCTTCGCGAAGTCTCCGGCGTCCACCGAGGAAATCTCCTCCAAGGTCTCCATATATTAGCCACTCGTCATATATAGCTACTCGTCAGTCCGTTCAAGACATCGCATAAGTTGTCTATCAACTGTATGCCATATGCCGATCTATAAGCCTCTACGCGAAGACAATTGCACAGGCTATTTACAACACAGAACGCCGCTATATTAATTAGTCAACGACGTTTCATAGATCTTCACAGAAATCAATCTTTCCGTATAGATTGCTAGAATATGCAATCCCGGACTACGATACGATTATCTACATGCGTGACCATTACGCAGATCTGCAGACAATTCAATATCGAAATTGAACAGCAGCCTTGTTACAGCGAGTATAACTCATAATCGTCAAAGTTTCTGAGAAAGAAATATGTACAACAAGTTCAGCTTTAATTCTACAATTATGACGATACATTCATGTATACAGTCTACAAGCTGACAACTTGCAAGTTTATTGTACCTTTATATAAGGAAGTCGGAATTATATTCAAAACTGAAGTTACATTCACGCGACAGCCAGGAAAATAACCTACCCAGCATTAATATTACAGAGCGAGGTATTTCGCGCCGAGGTTTAAGCGTTTACCTTTAACCCTCGAAACACGTGGTCACTTTCGGGTAACTTCGAAGCTACGGTGAAGACCGACGATTATGCTAATATCAACGGCGGCAAGATTTTATACAAGGTTTTTCCTGCTACACGGTGACATCACAGCTGGGTATTCTACAGAATCAAAATGCCTTGTTCTGATTGGACGCGTTGGACAACGACCTACGCAGAGGTCGATCTTAGTTCACAGTTCAAGACTTACGTTACAAGTGACAACTATATATCAGTGAACGAGCAAGCCTCCTTACAGTCCAGTTAATCTGAACCTTCATGATTGGGCTGCTTTCTTCAGGTTAGAGACCTCCCCTGTCAAGTTAGGACGAGGGCACGGCAGTCAGGCAATTTTACATAAAGTTCAACGAGGACAGACACACCTGGTTGTGCACCTACATCGTCAAGGACTTCGCAGCGAATAACCTAGACGACGGGATACAAGTGGATCTAAATCCACAGCGTCTCAGACTACAGCTGAATTTCATAATCAAGCTACTAACACAACTAGATGGTTAGTAAACCTACTTAAACTTTCTGATTGGAGAATTAAAACGGAAGTTTCACCCTCCAACTTGGGGATCTGAATATAGTGCTCCAACACCTCACAAGTGAGGTTTATGAACACGCCTGGATGACATACTTGGACTCCATGATACGATGATTCTATCGCGATGGCCAGCAAGAGCACTGTAAATTTATCTCCACCGAACCAAACAGAAGGGAATAATGCAACAGATTATTTCTTCTATCATCAACTTACGCCGAACGAAATCTCACGTGCTATATCTCCGTTTGGATCAGAACTGTCATACTACGTGCATACAAGACGGATGGACCCAATCCGACCCTCCATGAGCTTTTAATACTCATGATATTAGAGCGATAACTTCTACAATTGATCTACACAATGTTATTTGAAATAATGGAGGGTTTATTTTCTGGAGATCCGATATGGTGGTTGCCAACCATTATCTGAGAGATATCATCACCGAGGACGTCTCAGGTATCCACCAATTCGATCCCATGGTCCTCGCACAACAGTTGACAGTTCCTCGGAGAAGATAAGTCAATCTTACAGATTTCTACTTATCTTATAACAGTACTAAATAGCTACATGCTATATATAATTTGCTTAAGTTCTTTTTATCATCACAGTACTATGATTATTACATCATACAATATATAAGTTAACAACTCTACAGAGTTGGTTATTATATATTTACCTTAACTTAATGATATCTTAAGCATAGTACTATACTCAGATTGTAAAATATATAAGCTAACAAACTCTACAGAGTTTGGGCTATTATATAGGTAGCTTAAGCTTATTCATATCTTAAGCTCAGTACTATGTTTATATCATATAAGTATATTAGCTAACAAACTCTAAAGAGTTTTTGCTATTTGGCTTAAGTCTCATCATATCTTAAGCAATATGGTTACATTATAACATGTATTAGCTAACAAACTCTACGGAGTTTTTTGCTATTATATATGTAACTTAAGCTTATTCATATCTTAAACGCAGTACTATGTTTATATCATATAGGTATATTAGCTATCAAAACTCTAAAAGAGTTGTTTTTTTGCTATTATATATTTGGCTTAAGTTTCATCATAATTTAAGCTTTATGGTTACATTATAACTTGTATTAGCTAACAAACTCTACAGAGTTTTTGCTAGTATATATGTAGCTTAAGTTTTCCTTCAAATCTTAAGCTCAATACTATGTTTATATCATATAAGTATATTAGCTAACAAACTCTACGGAGTTTTTGCTATTATATATGTAGCTTCAGGTTTCCTTCAAAGCTCAATACTATGTTTATATCATATAAGTATATTAGCTAACAAACTCTACGGAGTTTTTGCTATTATATATGTAGCTTAAGGTTTCCTTCATAAACTCAATACTATGTTTATATCATATAAGTATTTTAGCTAACAAACTCTAAAGGGTTTTTTGCTATTATACAATTAGCTTAAGTTTCATCATATCTTAAGCAGTATGGTTACATTATAAAATGTATTAGATAACAAAACTCTCTACGGAGTTTTGCTATTATATATATAGCTTAAGTTTAATTATATCTTAAGCTCAGTACTATGGTTATAACATAAAAGTATATTAGTTAATAAACTCTAAGGAGTTTTTTTTTGCTATATACATTGAGCTTAAGTCTAATCTTATCTTAAGCTTAGTACTATGGTTACATTATAAATCTATAAGCTAATAAACTCTACAGAGTTTTGGCTATTATATATGTAGCTTAAGTTAATTATATCTTAAGCACAGTACTATACTCATATTGTAAAAATATATTAGCTAACAAACTCTACAGAGTTTTGCTATTATATAGGTAGCTAAAGCTTATTCATATCTTAAGCTCAGCACTATGTCTATATCATATAAGTACATTAACTAACAAACTCTAAAAGAGTTTTGCTATTATATAATTAGCTTAAATTTAATCATATCTTAAGCTTAGTACTATGTTTATATTTTTAAAGTAATTTAGCTAACAAACTCTAAGGAGTTTATACTAGCATATTAACAAGCTTAAGTCTATTAGTCTTAAGCATTGTATTAATGTTATATATACTTTATCATAATAAGTACATTGTAATAACCTTTATATGGCAGCTGATAAGTTAGCAGCAGGAATTCATCAGTTCAGTGCCTTTATGAAGTTCCCATAGGGTTATTACAATCATCACAGTTCAAATCACTAATTATTAAAATCCAAAGTATTATATATTCCCACCTCCGCTCCTTGAGATTTCTACAAGCAAAGAGCATGAGTCAGGATAAGGAAAAATATGTAATTTTTTGAGTAAAATTGATATTTTATACTTATCCTGACTCATGAGGTCAGCCCTCCCATCCTCCCCAAATAACACTTTGGATTTCCCTGTAAATTCAAATGTTGGGCTCAGTATATGAGGAGAGAGTGAGGCACATTTGTAGAGGTGGCGCCCTCGTTCCCGCGCTTGTGGAAGGGAGGTAACTCGTGGTGTACTAATTAGTGATTTTACATTGAAGGGAACTTCAATTAGGGAGATACAAGTGTTCCACTATGTTCGCAAGAAGAAGAAGACAAGCAAAAGAGCATGAGTCAGGATAAGTATAAAATATCAATTTTACTCAAAAAATTACATTGTTCTATGGTCTGTTCATGGCCTCATCCTGCACTAAGTACCAGTACATCATTGTTCCATGGTCTGTTCATGGCCTCATCCTGCAGTAAGTACCAGTACATCATTGTTCCATGGTCTGTTCATGGCCTTATCCTGCTGTAAGTACCAGTACATCATTGTTCTATGGTCTGTTCATGGTCTCATCCTGCAGTAAGTACTAGTACATCATTGTTCCATGGTCTGTTCATGGCCTCATCCTGCAGTAAGTACCAGAACATCATTGTTCTATGGTCTGTTTATGGCCTGATCCTGATGTTCCCTCTTCAACACAGAATGAAGAAAGCTTGTCACTGGCACGTCTTCACTGATCTGGTGGACCATGTGGTTGTCATGGAGATGCTGGTGTATGACCCGCCCAATGGAGGACTCTGCTCTGACAACAGAATCAACATCTTCAATGGTGGGTCTACAATGGGGGCACTGTCGGGGTCATGATGTAGGTGGTGTAGTTGACATTACAATGGTGGGTCTACAGTGGGGGCACTGTCGGGGTCATGATGTAAGTGGTGAAGTTGACATTACAATGGTGGGTCTACAGTGGGGGCAGTGTCGATGTAAGTGGTGAAGCTGACATTACAATGGTGGATGTAAGTGGTTGACATTACAATGGTGGGTCTATAGAGGGGCACTGTCGGGGTCATGATGTAAGTGGTGAAGTTGACATTACAATGGTGGATCTACAGTATGGGCACTGTCGGGGTCATGATGTAAGGGGTGAAGTTGACATTACAATGGTGGGTCTATAGAGGGTGCACTGTCGGGGTCATGATGTAAGTGGTGGAGTTGACATTACAATGGTGGGTCTATAGAGGGGGAACTTTGTGGGTGATGATGTAAGTGGTGAAGTTGACATTATAGTGAGGGCATGTCGGGGTCATGATGGGAGTTGACTTACAATGGTGGGTCACTAGTCGGGGTGTCAGGGGTGATGATGTAAGTGGTGGAGTTGACATTACAATGGTGGGTCTATAGAGGGGCACTATCGGGGTCATGATGTAAGGGTGGAGTTGACATGACAATGGTGGGTATATAGTGAGGGCACTGTCCAACGGTGGGTCATGATGTAAAGGGGTGGAGTTGACATTACAATGGTGGGTCTATAGTGGGGCACTGTCAGGGGTCATGATGTAAGGGTGGAGTTGACATTACAATGGTGGGTCTATAGTGGGGGCACTGTCGGGGTCATGGGTGGACTGTATTACAATGGGGTCTATAGTGAGGGCACTTGACATTGATGTATGGTGGGTTGACATTACAATGGTGGGTCTATAGTCGGGGTCACTGATGTAATGATGTAAGTGGTGGGAGTTGACATTACAATGGTGGGTCTATAGTGGGGGCACTGTCGGGTAATGATGTAAGGGATGGAAGTTGACATTACAATGGTGGGTCTATAGTGGGGGAACTGTCGGGGAGTCTATAGTGGGAGGGACGCATGATGTAAGTGGTGAAGTTGACATTACAATGGTGGGTCTATAGTGGGGGCACTGTCGGGGTAATGATGTAAGTGGTGGAGTTGACATTACAATGGTGGGTCTATAGTGGGGGCACTGTCGGGGTAATGATGTAAGTGGTGAAGTTGACATTATTACAATGTGTGGGTCTGATAAGTGGGGTTGACATTACAATGGTGGGTCTATAGTGGGGGCACTGTCGGAGTATGATGTAAGTGGTGAAGTTGACATTACAATGGTGGGTCTATAGTGGGGCATTACAGGGGGTCATGATGTAAATGTGGTGGTGAGTTGACATTACAATGGTGGGTCTACATGGGGCAATTGGTGGGGGGCAGTGTCGTGATGTAAGTGGTGGAGTTGACATTACAATGGTGGGTCTATAGAGGGGCACTTTGTGGGTCATGTGTAAGGGGAGTTGACACTGTCGGGGTAATGATGTAAGTGGTGGAGTTGACATTACAATGGTGGGTCTATAGTGGGGGCACTATGTCGGGGTAATGATGTAAGTGGTAGAGTTGACATTACAATGGTGGGTCTATAGTGGGGCACTACAATGGGTCATGATGTAAGGTGGTGGAGTTGACATTACAATGGTGGGTCTATAGTGGGGGCACTGTCGGGGTCATGATGTAAGTGGTGGAGTTGACATTACAATGGTGGGTCTATAGTGGGGGCACTGTCGGGGTCATGATGTAAGTGGTGGAGTTGACATTACAATGGTGGGTCTATAGTGGGGGCACTTTGTGGGTCATGATGTAAGTGGTGGAGTTGACATTACAATGGTGGGTCTATAGTGGGGGCACTGTCGGGGTCATGATGTAGGTGGTGGAGTTGACATTACAATGGTGGGTCTATAGTGGGGCACTGTCGGGGTCATGATGTAAGTGGTGGAGTTGACATTACAATGGTGGGTCTATAGTGGGGGCACTGTCGGGGTCATGATGTAAGTGGTGGAGTTGACATTACAATGGTGGGTCTATAGTGGGGGCACTGTCGAGGTCATGATGTAAGTGGTGTAGTTGACATTACAATGGTGGGTCTATAGGGGGCACTGGGGATGTAAGTGGTGGAGTTGACACTGTCTATAGGGGTCATGATGTAAGTGGTGGAGTTGACATTACAATGATGGGTCTATAGTGGGGGCACTGTCGGGGTCATGATGGGTAGTGGTGATAGTGGTGATATTAGTGGTGTTGATGATGATGATTCAGGATGGTGATGGTGATGGTGCAGCAGAAACAGTATTAGTGATGATGTGTATGTTAGTGATGTTTGTATGTGTAGTGATGTGTATGTTAGTGATATGTATGTTATGTTTATGTATGTTAGTGATGTGTATGTTAGTGATGTGTGTGTTAGTGATGTGTATTACAAGTGATGTGTGTGTTAGTGATGTTTATGTTAGTGTTTATGTTAGTAGTCGTATGTTAGTGATGATGTTTATATTATTGAGTGATGTGTATGTTAGTGGTATGTGTTAGTGATGTGTGTGTTAGTGATATTTATGTTAGTGATGTATGTTGATGTATGTTAGTGATGTAGTATTGTTAGTGATGTGTGTGTTAGTGATGTGTATGTTAGTGATGTGTATGTTAGTGATGTGTATGTTAGTGATGTGTATGTTAGTGATGTGTATGTTAGTGATGTGTATGTTAGTGATGTGTATGTTAGTGATGTGTATGTTAGTGATGTGTATGTTAGTGATGTATGTTAGTGATGTGTATGGTAAGTGATGTTTATGTTAGTGATATTGTTGAAAGGTGTTTATGTTAGTGATGTTTATGTTAGTGATGTTATTGAGTGATGTTTATATGTTAGTGATGTGTATGTTAGTGATGTATGTTAGTGATGTATGTTAGTGATGTATGTTAGTGATGTGTGTTAGTGATGTATGTGTTAATTGATGTTAGTGATGTGTATGTTAGTGATGTGTATGTTAGTGATGTGTATGTTAGTGATGTATGTTAGTGATGTATATTTAGTATTGATAATGTGTTAAATTGATGTGTGTGTTAGTGATGATATTGTGTGTTAGTGATGTTTATGTTAGTGATGTTTATGTTAGTGATATTATTATTATTTAGTGATGTGTGTTAGTGATGTATTTAGTGATATTGTGTTAGTGATATTATTGTGTTAGTGATGTGTATGTTAGTGATATTGTGTGTTAGTGATATTATTATTTAGTAGGTATATTAGTGATGTATGTATTATGATGTTTATGTTAGTGATGTTTATGTTAGTGATGATGTGTGGTAGTGATGTGTATTGAAGTGATGTGTATGTTAGTGAGTGTGTTTAGTGATGTATGTTAGTGATGTGTATATTGGTGATGTGTATGTTAGTGATGTGTATATTATTGTAGTGTGTGTTAGTGATATTTTATGTTAGTGATGTGTATGTTAGTGACCATGTATATGTTAGTGATGTATGTTAGTGATGATGTGTGTGTTAGTGATATTGTCTGTTTAGTGATGTGTGTATTTAGTGATGTGTGTGTTAGTGATATTATTGTGTTAGTGATGTATTGTGAAGTAGTGATATTTATATATCATATCAATATCATCTAGTGATGTGTGTTAGTGATGTGTGTATGTTAGTGATGTGTGTTGTAGTGATGTATTGTGTTAGTGATGTGTGTATGTTAGTAGGGTGTGTGTTAGTGATGAGCAATGCA